CATTGCGGATCAATTGTGTTTTTACTTCGGGATTCGTATCGGTTCGGCTACGCGTCACTCGAGTGCGAATTGGTTGACGTACACTCCCCACTATAATCGGCGAGTGATTTCCCCTACTGACTGCGGCAATGAGATTTAGTAGAGCTCTGTCATCCTTCATTCTAGCGCTTAGTGATCTGTAGACACCGAAGATGCAGAAGTGTTGGCATCTATTTCTTACAATGCAGCCTGTAGCTTGCACCGTTGGTGTACACAGTGTTACCTCAGGNGATAGTTGGTGAAGTTCGGAGGGGCTAATCGTTCAACTGATATGGTTTTGGATAACCATGTTTCAGTAAGGATCACAATATCGCAATCCTGGCTCCTAATCCCTAGCTCAACCCATTTGTTTCCAGCGCTGCACACATTAGTGTACCACAGTTTCAGACTGTGTGGCTGGAAAACCGGTGATTGTAAGTGATTTTCACTCAACTTTCCAACGCCCTCGAGCGCAACACCCGAGGGCCAACTACGTTTTTTAACTAACAATTTGCTCCATATCCTGCATAAAGCAGCTACCCTTCTTCTCGAGGGGCCCTGACCTAGCGGGGGCTAACACCATTTCGATAACCGTATCATTGATTATCGAGTCACCCTGGTCTCCAGTTTCCGTGGCCACCGAACATCTATCAAACGTCCCACTTTTTGGGCCGTGTCCCTGGTCCCCCAGTTCGCCATTCTTGCCTCTGGAGTCTGAGTAGACCTAGAGGTCGCGATCGGTGTCAGCGTCTGATCAGCGACTTTAGCCGGAGTATGGAATGCTTTCTTAGGGATTGTTTTCACCCCAGTCACTCCCTGCGTATTGCTGTCTGCTTCGGGTGTGACGCCGAGTGGTCATTGCGGCATACCTGACACGACAACTAATTTAGCCTGTAGGCTAAAAGCACATGCACTAACCCATTTCCATCAACTTTGCTCAGGCCTTTATTGGGTGTCACTGTTTCCTTTAGTTCCAGAAATCCCCAACCCACCGTTACTGGTCCCCTTAAGTAACTGGCTGAGGCTGAGACCAAAATGAAAATAAACTCTACAGAATTTCATCCGTACACCAGATCTCTCCGAGGGCACTCGAGAAACAAGCAAATCTGTAAGCCAAAGAGCTTTCTGCACCTGTGAATTGGACATCGGACATTGGACATTCACGTACTGATCACGTTTCACAGGAAGTGTATTCAACAGTCTGTAAACCCGCCCTTCATCAACATGTGCAGGAACCCACCCACAATCTTGGTCAGCAATTGTCCACACTAGAACTGGGACCCGATTCTCCCAGCCACCCCAGAGGGACGGAATGTATGGCGGATACAGTTCGACGACATGGGTACCGAAGCGCAGTTGTTAGACTGGGAGCCGATCGACACAGATGATATCGAAGAGTCGTGGGTTGTCATCCGAGACTACCTACTACAGCTGTTTCAACAATTTGCCCCTATACGCAGGAGCCGGCCTCATGCCAAAAGACCAACCTGGTTCGATCATGAGCTTGGAAGTTTGTTCCGCATGAGAAATCGTGCTTGGAAGCACTACCGTACTTCGAATTCAGGCTACGATGAATACCGAGTCATACGGAATCAGTGCTCGGCAGCTCGGGTGGCCAAACGCCATGCTTTCCAGGAGAGTCTAGCTGCCAAATCTGCCACGGCTCTGAAGGGGCTATTCGCATACTTGAAAAGAAGGACCAGGACGGTGCCTGGACTCCCGAGTCTTGTCGACAATGGAATCACTGCTGATACTGGTGTGGACAGGTCTGGTGTACTTGCTCGGCATTATGCTTCAATGTACGCAGGAGCAGAGATCTCAGTTTCGTCACCCTCATCAACTCGTAGAGTTTTGTATTCACACCCTCCTGATGTGATCTCAATCAGTGCCCCTTATCTGGGAGCCCACAACGTCGCCAAAGTACTACGTGGACTTCGTCAATACCAATCCCCCGGTCCATATGGAGTTCACCCGTTGGTGCTGAAGGAACTGGCTGATGTCGTATCAACCCCGCTAGCCCAAATGTTCAACTTGTCCCTCCGGACTAGCCGATTACCGTCAGACAGGAAGAAAGCGCTGGTTGTTCCCTTGTTCAAAGGTGGTGATAAGCACGCCCCGGTCAACTATCGGCCCGTGAGTTTGACTTGTGTGGCGTGTAAGGTGCTAGAGAAATTAGTGGTGAAGCACATTATCCGCCACCACTAACACCGTGCTTCTTCTCGGCAACATGGCTTCCGACAGGGCCTCTCCTGCTTATCCAATTTCCTGTTGGCACGTAACTATTGGGTGGAGTCTAGAGCTGACGGTTGCTCCACGGGTGTTGTGTTCGTGGATTTCAGCAAAGCGTTTGACAATGTGTCTCATGCGAAACTACTGGTGAAATTGAGATCGACGAGCATCTAGGACGCGCTGTTCTCCTGGGTTGAGGACTTTCTGAGGAACAGACTATTCTTGGTGAAAGCGTCATGGGCACGATCATCGTGATTGACGGTTTCTAGTGGTGTTCCGCAGGGATCGGTGCTGGGGCCAATACTGTTTCTGCTTTTCAGCAATCACCTGCCAGACTGCTTTGAAACGGAATGTCTGTTGTATGCGGATGATCTGAAGATCTGGAGATCTATCCAGGCAGAAAGTGACGTAAACACCCTGCAGACAGACCTGGATACTTTGATGCACTGGTCGCGAGAGTGGGATTTACTTATCAATCCTACGAAGTGCCATTATATGTCCATTGGCCGGTAGCCCAGTCTAAGAGTGTACCACCTTATGGACACTCTCTTACTGGCATCCGCATGCGAACGCGACCTCGGGAATCTGGTTTAAGCGTCGTTAAAAACCAGGAAGCAAGCCTGCACCTTGAGTTGGAGAATCGTTAAAGCCATTTGCCGTTCCTTTTACAAACGCTCATACGATGGTTTCAGGGCGCTGTACACCTCCCATGTCAAATCTCGCTTGACGTTCGCGGGCGCCGAGGTATATCCGTGTTTAGCTGCCGAAATTGTGAAGCTGGAGAGGGTGCAACAAGACACCAGTCGCACGATTGCCGGGTTACGCGGGTGTTGCTAAACTAAGCGATTGTGTAGCGGTTCTTTAACCGACAGTTTCGCAACAGCAGTTTTCTTTTCTTGCCTATTGTTCTTCTCCAAGTTCCCTGATAGATCCATTCAAGTTGGTCGTGATTATCAAATCACGTACCAGAAGCAATTTCACCCTACACTGGTGATTAGCAACAGGACGCGTTCAGTTTCCAACCAGTTATGCGTAATTGAGGATTATCAGGACATGGTTAAATAACCGTGGCATACTTATCAGAACCATCAAGGTTCAGATATCAAGTAGCGACTTAACCTCTCGAACAAGTAGTTAAACTACCGCTATGTTTTTCCTTCCTACTTAAGGACTCTTCTCCACCGGACACAATCAAGTGTACCGTCGAGATTTAGCATTTATCGCCATTATTTGGCGATAGCTATCTTCCAGGGAAAGTTTATTAATTAGATATAGCAACTTGGACATTTCCAGGATTAAGTTTGCTTTATCTATTATCGTTCTTTTAATGAGCTCGAAAAGCGTGCACCGACACGATTCCCCACGGTGAGCTCTGTATCGCACGCTTTCGTTACATTGATCAGATCTACTTTCAGGTTTCCGCTGCCGTTGATTAAATAACAACCTAGGCTTATCCAAACCTACTTCCAAACTTTCGGAAGATTCAGAATATATCGTTTTCTACAAACCCAATCTTTGGTTCTGTTTCCTTTTGGGACGGATATTAAAAACGAATGTGAGCAAACATTAGTGACAGGTTCTAACGAACATCAGCCACCATCGAGTCACTGAAATTGCAAGCATTTGGAATGTTCCCAGAGTCATATCGCTGATTACGGGGTGACATCATATGTGTACGACGTATTCTACCTGGTGATATAGGTTCAGAGCTAATGGCCTACTTCCCCCTACACGAGCAGAGCAGGACTCGAGGACACAGATTTACGTTGCTGAAGCTTCCGGCAATTGGATTATCTCCTAGGTATCGACTATCGCGAAGGGTAACCAACCTATGGAACTCCCTTCAAGCCGATGTGTTGGACGAGGTAGATGGTAGTATGTTCTAGAGGAAGCTCGACAGCGTCCTTCACAAAATTTGGAATGCAGATCAATACTAAATGCATACTTTGAGTCTGTGGTGATGAGGCTTATACGGGAAGTTTCCTACTGTCTCCAATTGACGAACACTGAACATTGAACACGGTATAAATCGATTGTTCGCCCACACATGAAGTATTGTGTGCAGGCATGGGCACCGTATTACATGAGAGATATAACATGTTTAGAAAGATTGCAACGCCTAGCTACCCAAATAGTGACTGGGCAAAGGGGGAAAAGCTCTAAGCAGCGGTTGAGAGACCTTAATCTATTTTCGCTGGAGTGTAGGTGAGTGAGGGGTACCTGGTAGAGACCTTTAAAATTGTAGGAGGTCTATCGGAACTCAACCTAGATGACTTGTTTACGATTTCTCGTGCTCAAAACACGAGAGGTCATGGCTACAAGCTTCAACAAAACCACGCCAGGTTGGAAGTACAGGGCGACTTCTTCACACACAGTGTCATACCTATATGGAACAAGTTATCCGCAGAAGTAATTAATTGCGCTAATGTTATTGCCTTCAAGGTGACCCTGGACGCATGTTGGTCAGCACATTCTCCAAAGTTAGTATTTAGAGTGAGAACATCAAGATTAAATTCCATTTTAGCCGAAATTTTATGAATTTAAGTAAATTCTGGCTTGATTAATGGAATTGTTCTCAAACTGGCTGTCCTTTTACATGTGAATTGTGCATACGAACGCATGTGTAATTGAGGTCTCTAACCAGTGAGGTGAGGAGATATCCCAGCTTGTTTTCCTCCCTTTCAGCATACTCCTAAGGAGACAACGTTCTGGAAACGGGGCTAAATTGAGAGGATCACAAATACCAAATGAACTGTACGCAGTGTTGGAATCTACTCCCATCCGCCAGCAACACAACGAACTGGACGCTCGATTGGCAAGAGCCATATTCGTCCTGTGCAAACTGCAATGATCTTAACTTAACTGAAATGAAATTTGATGTTTCTCATCTTTGCGAACGACATACCATCAACGTTGAGTAGCCCGTGCCTCAAGCTCTGGCAAACAATCCGGACAGAGGAGAACCAGTTGTCTCTTCAGGATGATCTGAATGCTCTGATGAACTGGTCGAGGATATGGGAGTTACCGATGAATATCTCTAAGTGCACCTACATGAGGATAGGCGGACACGGTCTCACCGCCAACTACCTTCTCGGAAGTACCGTGCTCCGGCAGTGAACTGAGGAACGAGATTTCGGTGTTGTCTTCACCAGCAACCTAAAACCTCGTTAACAGACGGCAAAAGCTTGTGCCTCTGCGTGGAGTATGTTGGGTGATACCCGCCGTTCGTTTGGTCCTTTACCTCTGGAGGCCTTCAAGTTGCTGCATGCCTCCCTCAAAGGGCTGCTACACGCCTCGTCGAAGGACTACGTGGGATCAGCTACTAGGGCCGACGGAGTACAACGGGATTATTTCCCATGTCATACAGACGACTGAGAAGCGACCTGATCTACACCAGACGCATAATCATGGGTAATTTTGGCCCAGAATTGC